AATTTCCTCCTGCCTTCAAGAGTTCCTGTACATCCTTGAGGCGGAAGTTGGTCTCAATAGCAAATTGGGCCTCAGGTCCACGTTGACATTGCGGTGGAAACAGCTTGCCAATTGGAGCTGTTGTACTAGACCAGCTTGGCCATTCGCTTCTGACTTTGGGTGGCTGGATGTGCTGCTCAAACTGTGGGTCGTTGTCGCAGAAGAGGACATGTGTATGTCCCATGCCGACCTCCTCGATCTCCAAGATGACAGCCCGGTTGTAGCCCAAAGTGCCTAAGAATTTCATCAATCCGATTGTGTCAAGCGGTCTTGGCTGGGAGTGCAGTATGCAGCCATCAGCGTCTGTAGAATCTTCATTGCAAAGGATGTAGTGGTGGCCCTCTACTTGTTCCCGTAGACATAGAAACTTGTCGCGGTGACCAAAACGCAGTGCTTGGCATATATGACCCCAGGACAAGAGCTCGTGCTCAACCTTGGTTTTCGTGACTGGCTCCTCAATCTCGATGTACGTAGGAAGCTTCATGTCTTGATGACCCGGAATCAATTGGACTGCGCACGTTGTCCGGAATAGAAGCTTATCGAGCTCCAGACGTCTACGATCCTCTGGCCCATGGACTTGAGCCACCGTTCCATGTGTTAGGCGCTCAGAGGCCGTTCTCGCAATATGCACTCGAGTTTGAAGCAGGCCCAATCCATCCGTCCCTGGTGCCACAGGTGCTAGGGGCGGTAGCCATCCATGCGGCAAGTTCTGGCGGAAGACTAAGAGATGGAAACTTTGGCCATGTCTTGTTGGGAATTGTTGATTCGGCCCCAGGAGCTGTGCACCTGTTCGTAAGTCGAAAGCTGCTTGCTCATTGGCATAGGCCGAGATTTGCAAGACCTGTTGGAGTTGGCCCGGGTTCGTGACAGTCACTGCAATCCTAAAAGGAAGGCCCTCGTTGACAGCATTGTCCTGAACCGTCAGCAAGACCCCAGTGGTGTGGTCTGGGAAGAGCTGTGTCAGGATAATGTGGGCAGTGATTCCCTCCTCGAGGTTTTCTGGTGGTGGTCTTACAACATGGATCTCAACTGGAACTCCTTGCATAATCAAGTCTCTCCATGTGAAAGTCAATCTGTCTCTCCAATCCGCAACATCATCAAACAATGTCGTGCGTCTTGCGTAAAGGCATCTGTAATGACCTCCTCCAGGACAAAGAAACCAAACTAGAAAGGTTGCTGAGGGTGATTCTCCTTGCCAGCTGGTTGCCCCAATCTGCCAAATGGCATGTAGTGCATGGATGTCTGCTGGTTGGCTCCAAATGTTGACACGATCTGGATGAAATACCGGTGCCAGCGGGTTCAACATCCCAGTGGCGTAATCAGCACATTCATTTCCACCACCAGTCAAATCCAAGGCTTGTTGGTGCGGTTGGTCTTTGGTTCTTTGCATGAGGTCAGTGTGGTCTGGTTCCCTAATCCAATCAAAACCATCGATACGTATGGCAATGTTGAGTGCCGGGTCCAGTTCCTAGAAGTCAACGATGCTCAAAGGGAAATCACGAAGCGTCACTCGGCAAGTGATTGACCGACAGATTGTAGTGAGTTCTGATGTGCGCAGGATACTGGCAGCGGTTTGCAGTGTGGTCAAAGAGAATGCCCGATGGGTCCACATGTCATCACTCCTTCGCCCATCCAACGTGCTAATCAAACAAATGGTCTGTCCGGGTCTCTCAGATTGCTCAATGATAAGATGAGCTTGCACACATTCAAATCTGCTGCACGGTGGTGTTGGCTGGACTACATGGATGACGAATTCCTGTTGTGGGTCTAGGGCTTCGCTCCATGAATCAGCTATTGCCTCAGTCCAGCTCGTCTCGTCTTCTTGGAGTCGAACGGGTCTCCCTTCATCACAGCGGACTTGTAGATGATGATGGATGGTTCATGACATACATGATGCGACCTTCTTCTTCACACTCAATGAGATCAGTACGATCTCGAAGACGTATCAGCTTCCATTCATGGCCTTCGGCAAATCTACCTCTCTGTGGCTGCACTGCTCGCAAAGGTGTCTGTGTGTGCCCTTGTAGTGGAGCATTTTCAATGTGCTCAACGATGGGTTCCCACATGTGCTCCTCAGAACCTGGTGACGCTCCAATTTGTCGCAGAGAGAGAGCATTGTGTCTTTGCCGGCATCGTGCTGCCACATCTGTACGTGCTGGTTCTTCTTCAAGTGCAAGGTCGCGCGCAATCGCAATAGCTATCTCTGTGTCCATAGTCGGATCTTGTGGCGGCGGCACTTGAATCTTGAAGTACATCCCATGAGTCATAGTGTGCGTTCTGGCATCGTTCGCTGGCCATAAGACGTTGTTCTTGAAAATCGTACAACGATCATGTTGGAGCCGGCAATATTCGAAGAGTCCAGTCAGGAGTAGAAGCTGATCACGATGTAAAGTAGGGTTAACTTTGATGACTTTTCTGCTTGCCGCTGCTGGAACTAGAAGACCCCCGCGAAGTGGATGGAAGTGAATCTCCAAGTCCAGTAGAACGAGTTTCTCATCTGATCCTGCCGCGATGTCATGCACAGATTGCAGAATAATCACTTCTTCCGCTTCTGTGTGGACACCCGTTGGAGTGGCTGGAACATAATGGAAACATCGGATATCACGCCTACGTGCTCTGCATGCGCGAATGGCCTCTTCAAGAATCGCCATGTATGTGGTGCTTGGCGCAAAGCTGTGAGCATCTGGTTCTGAAAGACGAAAGATGAGAATTCCAATGTCACCACTGTGTAGGCTGCTGCTCTCATAGTCCCCTGAAACTTGCCCAATTGCCTGGCTGTCCACAACGTCATTCTCATCAAAATCATCCTCATTTGGCTGCTGCATGAAGGATGCATCATCAATGTCAGAGAACTGCCTCTTCCTCGTACTCAAAGCCGAAGAGCTTGCCGCATTGCTCTTTGGAGGTGCATCAAAGATATTGATGTTGAAGGCATGTCCATGATGAACTTCATGTGTGAGCACCGTGTTGAATGGGATGTCATGCCACTCATAACTTGTTCGACAATTGATGCTGGGTTGGCTGCACCAATACATCACCCTGGCCGCTTCCGCAAGGAAGACCCCCCCAATCCGTCTTTGAAGGGAGCAAGCAACTGCGTACGAGAGCGGGGGATGTAGTCGATTGAAATGATGGACTGTGGAGAGTGTCGAAAATCGATGAAGCCAGTGCCCTTGAGAAATGATCACGTCAGCGTGCACAGGTCTTGTCAGGTACCCTCTGAACGAGTCCGGAAAAACCACATGAATCTGGATGACTTCATTCGGTCTGATGTGATCCCTCCATGCCTGACCGATATCAGTCTCCCATCTTCGCCAATCCTCTTCGAACTCAAGGAATCTTGGTACTTCGCAATAGCGCTCATCTTGGTGGTGTAAATACCAAGTTCTGATCTGCATGGATCCATCATGATCAAGATCAGTAAAGACTCTGTGCCGCTCTGCAAGTTCAAAAAGATCATGCACAAAATTGGGAGCACCTGTAGGGTCTGGTATGACGTCAGGGTCAGCGAACGAGAGCTCGAGTGCACGCAAGGTGGCTTCCCAAGGTGAAGTGAAATCCTGCTCTGTCACAATGGAGTGCGCCCATCCTATAGTGTAGTCCACCAAAAGTGGAGAAGTGGCTGGCTGTCCACAGGAATACCCAAGGGTCATCCACTGTGAGCCCCACCAAAAGGCTGCATTGATGGCATTGCCATAGGTTTGGAACCTGTGGGTACCGGCTCTCCGCTGGTTTCCTTTCTTTGTCTTTTCTTCTGTTGTTCTTCTGCTGCAGCATGCTCCAGGTCTGCTTGTTGAGCAAATTCTCCCAGCGAGGCTGTCAGATGCGTCAGGCCATCTTCGATCTTTTTGGAACTCTCTGTGTTCATCAAGGTGTCGTCCATCATCTCCGGATCCTCCTCCGCTTCTATGGTGAGACACCTCGATCTTGAAGTTCTCGAAAGATCGCCTGTGCTTTCTTGACCTCGTCTCTTGCCTTGGTGATCTGCTCTAGGTTGTGTTTCTCTTGGCTCTGAAACCTCTGCGTGTACTCCTGCCAACGTTGTACAGAGAGGTGGAGAAACTGTCGCCATGATGGCGCTCTGGCAAAGCAAACCTGTTCCAATCGCTGCTGTGCATTTCCAAGATCCTCTACAGCTTCGTGCATGCCTTGGATTTTTTGCATCCCCTCGTGAACCTTGGTGTCCTTCATGACTGCGGCCACCTCGGCGGGGAGCTCTGTTTCGTTCTTCTTCAAGATGCCCATGACCTCCTTCAATTTGGCCTCTGCCGGAGAAGGAGCACTCATTGGCGGTTCTTGCGACTGCCCTCCAGCAGCATTGTACGGAGCTGCAAATTGCATCCATGAGTCTGATGGCCCTGTCGGGGGTGGCATAGGTGGTGGAGGGAGTGGTGCCATGCCCTCTTGTCCCATACCTTGGTGATGGTAGGGCTGTACCTTGCCCTTGCCGCCCTTGCCACTCTTGCCTTTGCCTTTGCCACCGCCTCCATGGTGTCTTTGGGACTTGGGTTTCTGTTGCCTGCTCCTGGGGCTTGCGCTCGTCGACTTGTGATTGTGCCATCCATCCCAATATGTGTCTCCCTGGTTGTAGCTGCGGTATGTCGTGTGCCTTGAAGGAGTCTGCGAACGTTGGGAAGTCGCTGCAGGGTCCTGGTACGCAGTATCCGCACAATCCTCCCAGTGTTGACCACATGCCGGACAAAACATATCGTTGCCCTTGATCAATCTTCGGCAGTCTGCGCACTTCCATGCAGGCTTCTTCTGCGATGTCATGGCTGCTACAATCCTGCGAAGAAAAACTGTATCGCGCGAGTGATGACCTTGTAGAGTATCCAAGAGACGCTGCAAGCCCTTGTTGTCCAAAATGCACAATCCCCGCTTGTGCAGATGGAATTGAAGTCTTGCACGAGCTCTCGCTCTTCGACCTGCTCTGCGCTGCGTGGGCGTAATCCTTACCGGCAATGAACAAAACGAAGGAGAGGAAGACCAGCAGGGTAGATGGCATACACCGGAACCAAGTTAAATGCAATGCCGTCGCAGAAGCGCCAGAATGCACAAAAAGGATCACGATGTAGATGAGGCCACCCAGTATTTTACGTGCCTGGGAGCACAGAACAAGGTGGTTACGATCTGGCCAGGATCGCAGAGCACTGCAAAGATCTGTCCACCAGCGAAGCCGAACTTCAGCAGATGGATGACCCGCGGGCAAGACGGAACACGGGAAAGCCCGCTAAGGTAGTTGGAAAGAGACGTTTGAAAGGGCACGCTCTGATCCGAAACCTTATATATATATATACATATATATAATATTTATATACAAACATGTATATGTATGTGTATATATATATATATATAATATATATATATATATGCATTCCTTGAAATCCAGAGTTGTTTCCTGTCGCCAGAGGTTTCACCTCGTTTCGGACACATTCCGACGGCAGGATATACTTCGTATCCCTGTGATTCGACAGCAGGCGGAGCGGCTAAGTGCGGATCCTAGGACTGCGTAGAGGCGTAGAGGATGGGGTACTGGTAGGTTTTGTCCCAATTAGCTTATGAAATCTTCGTCCCAATTGATCAAATAAGTGTTATGGGTGTTTTGTTGAAAAATGTAGTCTACCCGAACCTGGATTTTTGCCAGAAAACCCGTAAAATTTGAGGTATCTTTGGGAATCCATTTTTGCACAGCCACGAGAGAGAACGCATGATCTCGACCCTGGCTGAGATGCCGAGCAGAATGCTGAGAACGAGGCCGAAGCAGATCCATCAGGCTGGGTTCCCAAGGTTGGGGACATTTGGGTTGTCCAAAAAATGCGGATGACGGGATGACCCCAAAATGGCAAATTTGGGGGAGCCTTAGCTTTAAAACCATAGGTACAGATGGGTACAGATGGGTACAGTACCATATTTTCACAGAGGAGAAGCACCTCAGGTGTAGCTGTCAGTGGTTTGGTCATGTTGCAGCCTGGGGCAAATGAAGCTACAGTGCGGCTGCTCAGCCAATCCCAGCCGTTGGCTCCGCATGAGATCATTAAGATTGCTTGGAGATTTGCTGTCAAAGGCGCCAGACATATTCTAAGGCACAAAAGCATGTAAGGTGCAGCCACCACGTTTTTGAAAGGGCTCCACAAAGAATTATGCGATGAATATGCGATGAAGACAGCGCATCATCCTGCCAGGGTGTTTCGGGACTTGCAGAACAACTGGCAGGAGCGGATCAGAAACAACTGGCTGGCAGTATCAGGAAAGTGTTATCTGTTATTCCATGTTATTCCCCTCCCCAAGAAATGGGATGATGATCCTCCTTAAACTAGTCATTGTCTTGCACTGGGGTGGCTCCACCAAGATTCTTGTCTGGTCAATATCCCCATTGCCGTTACCGCTCAAAAAACCCGTTCTGATTGGTTTAATCCCCCATGAGTCCACAGAGTTGATGGTTTATGCTGAAAATTGATAGCTTAATTGATTGCTGGATCCCATTCATCCCACTTTTAGCCATCATTCAATGGATTGGTTTAAAGGAAAATCTACAGGAAACCATAGATTTTCCCATTAAATATGGGGCTTTCCTGTAGATTTTCCCTTAAACCAATCCATTGAATCATGAATCCCATGAATTCCATAAATATCAATGATTGACGGCTGAAAGTTTCTGACGACAGTGTAGGCTCACGACGCCTATGCTCGCGCCTGTTTAGCTTTGGGTGCCCCTGGGCTTTGCCTTGCGCAGTGGGAAGTCATTGACACGCTTAACTTAATATTCATCATTCCACATTGGTGAATATTAATATATTAGTTGTTAATATCCCAGTTTATTGAGAGAGATATTATTAGATTATTAACCATTTCACTGGCACATCTAAAATCAATCTCATTGACAATGTGATGTTTTTTTGATTCCCCAAACAGTGTACTGGTAGGGGTTCTTAATGCTTTCTTAAGGTGTGCGCCTTGGTGTTGGATGGTGTGTCCGCCTTCCCCAGGGTCTTGTCTCCCATTGTCTCCCATTGTACCCCTTCTTGTTTTCCTTTGTTGGATGGTGCGTCCGCCTTTCCGAGGGTCTTGTCTCCCCTTGTCTCCCATTGTACTCCTCCTTGTTTCCCTTTCTTGGAAGGTGTGTCCGCCTTCCCGAGGGTCTTGTCTCCATAAATCATCGATAAATATTCTAAAAATCATCTCAAAATCATCCATAAATCGTCCATAAATCCTCTAAAAATCTTCCACAAACCTTCTATAAATCTTCTTATTTCCTCCATAAATCATCCAAAAATATTCGATAAATCCTCCATAAATCACCCATAAATCCTCCATAAATCCTCCGTAAATCCTCCATAAATCCTCCACAAATCCACCATACATCCTCCATAATTCCTCCATAATCCTCTATATAAGTCCTCCATAAACGTCTATAAATCCTCCTATTTCCTCCATAAATCCTCCATAAATCCTCCATAAATCCCTCTAAATCCTCCATAAATCTTCCATAAATCCTCCAAAAATCATCAATAAACCCTTCATAAATCATCCATAAATCCATCATAAATCCTCCATAAAGCCTCTATAAGTCCTCCATAAATCTTCCATAAATCCTCCATGAACCTTTCATAAATCCTGCATAAATCCTCCATAAATCCTCTAAACATAAATCCTCTAAAAATCCTCTATAAACCTTCCATAAATCTTCCATAAATCATTCAAAAACAGTCAATAAATCCTCCATAAATCCTCCATAAATCATCCATAAAGCCTCCATAAATCCTCCGTAAATCCTCCATACATCCTCCATAAATCCTCCATAAAGCTTCCATAAAACCTACATCTTCAAGTGGCCAGGCGAGCCACGGAAAACATTCTCGGAGGTAGTCTAAAATACCAGTTCGTACTGTGTCGATGTTGTAACAAGTGCCGATGACAAGATCTTGTGCCAAATCGTGGTGTGCCTTGCCTGTCTCCTTGCTCTTGCCTCCAGCTGCTGCTTGGGGTGTCATCACAAGAAGTGGCCACAGGACAAAAGATTCAAGCGTGTTGGCGTGACATCTCGATTTGGACAGGTTTGCGTTTGTTTGAGTGTGTTATGCGCTCGTGTTGGGCTTGTCTCATATTTGGGACGTCTCTGTTGTGATTGTGGCAGGACGGGCGCAGCAAAAGTCGCTTTTCTAGGCCAAAGGGGCCTGTGGCATCTCCGCCGCCTGTGAAAGGTGACAAGGGGGTTTGGTTTTACCTTACGTCTGAGTCGCCGGAGGGTGGGACTGGACAGCTACAGATGAAATTTGGGTAGGCGCTGTATATGTTAATGTCAGGTGGTGGGCAGCAAGAGCGAGTTGGCAACGAATGGCCAACGCAAGGCATATTAATTCAATTGGCAGTTGGGCAGTCAGACGGTGTTCATTCGCATAGCGTGCAGTATATTTAAATATCCGACAGATTTTGCGCAGACGTTTTTTTAATCTGCGCCGTGAGGAGAACAGAAGCGCAATTTCTAGAAGTAAAGGTTTTCCTAAGATTGACAGCCGTGAGGCCGTGAGGTATATTAATTGACAGTTTCCCTGGTCATATGAGATTTCATCGCAAGATGTGGGTCGTATGTTTTGTTTTTTTTGGCATGTTTCCTTGTGTGGAAGGCGGCCAGTTGCACGTCCAGCGGGAAAAAGGCCTTGGCTCCCCTTGTCTCCCCTTGTCTCCCATTGCCTCTCATTGTCCCCCCACACGTGTGCCTGTGTTGGATGGTGCGTCAGGTGTCTCCTCTTGTCTCCCTTCTTGTTTCCCTGTGTTGGACGGTGAGCAGCCCCCCTTCCCGAGGTTTTGTTTCCCTTGTCTCCCAGCTTGTCTCCCACCTTGTTTTCCTTCTTGTCTCCCGGCTTGTCTCCCAACTTGTTTTTCTTCTTGTTTCTCTTTGTGGCGGGTGGTCTGATTTTGTATTTTTCTCAGACAGTGCACCGTTAAGACCTGTTAGGGGTTCTTAAGGCTTTCTTAAAGTGTCCGCCTTGGTGTTGGATGGTTTGTCCGCCTTCCCGAGGTCTTGTCTCCCAGATTGTCTCTTTTCTTGTTTCCCTTCGTGGCGCGTGGTCTCATTTTGCATTTTTTCCCAAACAGTGTACGGTTAGGGGCTCTTAATACTTTCTCATGTGTTTGACCGTGTTCCTGCCAACACTTCTTGACTCCACCCACTGTTTGGGGCCTACGGTGGTGTAATTTGATTGTTTGGGGATATCGCATTTTGACACAGGACTTTTGTTTTTCCTGTTTGCGAGGGTTGCTGTGCATGGTTGCCTGAGGTACATACAAGCTGATCCATGCCCTTGCTTATTACACAGTTGGCCACATGATTGCAAAAACTTGGGCGAGTGGCCGCAACTTTTGGTTGGAAAACAGCTGTTTTCGGACTACAGGTTCCATACTTTGGCGGATATAAAATATTCCAAATCAGGATTTTCCAGGCAAATGCGTAAAGTGAGGATTTTATAGGTTCAAAAATGCATAAACATGTTGCTTTAAGTAGTACTTGCATGGGTTCAAACTGGTTCAAAGCAATTCTTCCGACAGGCTTTGCATAATTTTGTGGAGGTTTTGCATGTCTGTGTTCAGTCTTCAATGATGATTGATTCCAGTGTCAACGGTGACCGTTCTATCAACAGTGATCCACTGAGTCCAAGGCCTCCTGGTTTTGGAAGATCGTGCTCCATGGGCTTGCCTCGTTTGCGTCGTGGTCTTGCCGGCACTTGCCTGGCTTCTCATCAGGCGGAATACAGGAATTGCGCCTATGTTGGTTTAGAATTGGTTTAGAATCATCATTGTTAATTGTATTGTTAATTGTATTACTACTATATATTATCATTAGTATCGTCAATTGTCGTGTTAGATTTCTTAACTTGCTGTATAATAAGAAAGGAATAACTATTCTGGATTCTCATACTATGTGTTGTTTCTCCGTATCCACTGAATTTCGTTGCCACCTCCTGCAGGCTGGACTTGTACTTTTCCAGTACAATCGGAGTCATAGGGGCTATGGTGCTAATGGGGGGCCTCAGCCTGAGCGGCGCTGGCTGGGGTGGTTTTTTTTGGGATTTGAAATGATGAACCGATGAACATCGATGAAGCACCCCACTTTGATGGCCATATCAATGGGGAAAATGATGATCAATGGTTTCTTCTTTTTTTTTCCCCCACTTTCAGACACCATAACTGGAGTAACTGGAGGTCCAGTCTTGGCCTTGATAGCCGCCAAAGTCTCAGTCAAACAAAAACAACCAGACAGACACAGAGTATCAGCAGACTCTTTCACATGCAAATTTCTGAGGCAACCCTGTCCTCTTTGGACCACCCGCAAGAGGATGCTCAGTTTGTTGGAAGGCCCAGCATGATGCCGCGTTTTTTGCAACTCCCTCGGTGGTGTTTCTACTCAAACAGAAAGGCTGGCAGGGCATTGTACGTAGATGCATCGAGTAACTCTATGGCAGTACATGAAAAATGCTGTTGCAGTATAGGGTGTCGATGTGTATTCATTTCTCTTACCGAATGTGTTGAAGATGTTGAAGACACAGAGATCGCCTGATTGAAACTCAGTGCAGTCAAACAGCCCAGGTCCTGGTAGCAATCATCTTTGCAATGCATGCCTTGTTGATTGAGCTCCTGGCTATATTGTCGTGATTTGTCATGCTTATCTATGTTTCATCTCTTGCGTGCAGAAAATGCTTGTGACGGCTTGGCAACACAAGACATGTCTCACCACGTGTCAGGTATGTGTGGCCAATGTCGCACGAGCTGAGCATGCGGACGGCTTATTCATCTGATTCAAAGTTATGATGACAGTGTTCATGCAATGATGCCAAACTTCAATCGAAATGGCTGAAGAATCTGAGGTGACAGAGCGCGGTGCTGCCTTGCCAACGGGCTTTCGGAATGTCCTTTATTTGGACGTTTTCGGATGGTCACTGCCTCACAGCACATATCATCCGAAATATCCCATTAATAATACACCATTTCTCCTGGAGAACACCATTTTGCATGGCAAAACCTCTGTTTATTCTTGGGTTTGCCGTCCCCATCTGGCATGCCTTGGTCTGGCTTGGTCCATGAGAGAGGTTACAAAGCCCAGATGAAGCGCGAGAGACTGGGCGGACGCGAGCCAGACAAAACAATGCAAGGGGCCAAGTCTTGGAGACTTCGCTTCGCTGTGCAAAAGCATACTGATGGATCCCCTTGTTGTTTTCGGAACACCCATACGAACCGTCCCAAGAATGCAATCTGTAGCTCTTGGTAGCCCACATCTCATGATAGCCACCATGCTTTCCTGTAATTTTTCTTTAGAAGCAATCCGATGAATGGAAGGCATTTCCGTTTGATGTGCTGCTCCTAGCCAATTGCAGGGACGCGAGATGCCTGCAATGCTGCGGGAGGCCAGTTGTGATGTTCATGTTTTTCGGCCTCTCATTTTAAACAGAGAGTGATGGAGAGTCAGGGTTTTTGACATAGCTTGGTCGGTTTCAGGCAATTCCAGTGTCACATGAAGCGTTACTGTTGTGTTGTGCTGTTGTTCTAGGCGCTCTTCCCAGTGACATAGACCGGTCGCAGGTTGAATGCAAATGCATCTGTCCCACAGTGTCTTTTCCAGGCCTTGTACAAGGAAAGCTGCCGCTTGGGAAGGCAACTGACACGAGAATTCTCCGCTTGGGAGGCCAGAAGCTGACGATGTGGCTTTGTCCCTTTTCAGTGGATACTCCGAAATCCAATAGTTAGTATTGGTTAATCATCCTTACTTATCAATACTTATCATTTAATCATCATTTTCCTCTATATTTCCTGCTAAATTGCCCATAATTTGGGATTAATCACCCATGGACACAGCCATCTGCGGTGCCAGATTGTCGACTTGGACAACCTCCAAACTCTGCTGAGGCTGGCGGCCTCACAGGTCCTTAATGCGGGGAACATCATCAGAAACCATGGGAATTTTACCGCCAACAAAAAAGCAAACTGTATTTCATCGAATTACAATATATTAGAATGGCATTCAATGGGTTTAGCAGCCAGTGCTCAATTTCAAGTGACATGCTACGCGCGAAAGCAGATCAGTCTCATCAGAACTTGAGACCAGGCAGATTCGAGGTTTACAACGAGAGTTTACCAACATTTGCAAAGACTTCAGCAAGGTGCACGAGGTGCAATCGGCGAGGAAAATTTCGGCAGCTGGGTATCGGCCAGTCCATTTTGTGATCCAAAATGGTTGCCAAAAATGACAAACGTCAGAGATACTCTATACATCTCTATACTCTACACATATTTTGCTTCATTTTTGGCTCTGAAAATAGGTACACCCCAAACCTAATGGTTGATCATCATTTTCCCATATGAAAATAGCCAGGATACACCATGACAAACGCTGCAGCTCCACCAGGTGAACCTGAGCAGAGGTCTGGTTACCGACAACGAGGCGAAACCATGGCCAAAATGAGGAGGTGCATCTAAGTCTCTAGCTGGTTCAACAAAATGGTTACAACTTTGATCCAGATTTCTTGGAATATATGATAAATAAATAGATAATTAAATAAAAAGGTAAATAAATATATATATATATTATTTGTCCACATATACATATTATGGGGTACATTGGTCGCTTGTGACCCTATTCGCTGTTTCTACGTTTTGAACCATAAATAATAGGGTCGCAAGTGACCAGGTAGAATAGGGTCGCAAGTGACCGGATAATAGGGTCACAAGTGACCATGGTACCTTTTATGGAATATATATATATGTATATATATATATATGTATATATATATATATATATATGTATATATATATATATGTATATATATATATATGTATATATATATATAATACCTAGTTTTACCCAATTCTATAGGCCATTCTCCAGTTCCCGGGATGCACCAAGCTCATCTGAGAGGACGTGACCTGGGCCCAAACTGCAGCAGATTCTCCAGTTTCCTCAGGCAATGATTGGTGGATTCAAGCTATGGAAGCTCTGAGGGACATAGGAATGGTATGTACACAGCAAACTTGGAGGGACAGAAGAGACATGAGTAGCATCTTTTTGGGATGGGATGGTTTTCAGGAATTTTGACTTGCTTTTTCTCCAAACAGACCAAAGTTGGTTCAGGATTGTCTGTTCTGAAACTGTTCCGGGCAGGAGTCGCTGAGGACTCGGTGCAGATCTGGTTGCGACTCGAGTCATTGCCTCGGTCTGGGGTTATTGGGGCCTGCCGTGGCCTGGCGTGCCGACATCTGCAGGTGTCAAAGCGAAAGAATCACCTGGCCGGGGGCTGAATCCATGACTTTCCAATGGAGATGTTCTGATGATCCAAAACAACCAACAATCCGCAAGAAAAATGGAGAAACAATATGAAATAATTAGCCAAACATAATGGCATACTGCCAGCATTTGGGCGTTTAAAAATAGGAGACAACGAAAAACCATCACCACTTCATGATCCATGTCAGTGGGTAAACCACAATTTGGGTATCAACCTTTTTCGGATATGCCCATTTTGGGTCATGACGTTGCGGTGCTGGAGATGTTCACTGGGAGGTTTGTCCAGCCAGTAACGAATGAGACTCGCTATGAAGCTCCAGTGGCAACGGAGACAGAGGCTGTGACCTCAAGTTCAGGAGCAAGAAATAAATGTAGAAAGTTTTGAATACCAGTTGAATGTCAAACACACCATGACTAGATGTGTTGTCCTCGACTGGTGACCTCGTCTTGAAAACTCCTGCATTTCCAGGGCAAGCTGTTCATCTCTGACATCGTTGGAGTTGCAGGGCGCCTTGAAATGTCGGGACCTTGTTGATTTCAGCATGGGATTCCAACGCTCCAAAAGCAGAGCTAAGAACTGGCAGACCGAATTCAATTGTGACCTGCAAGCACTCAGTCACATTTGGTCACATCATGTCACATCCATTTTTGACAAGGCTTCGAGAGCGTGTCTTCGTCTTGCAGGAGGATGTGCAGTCCGGAAATCATCGATCGTCGAGCGCTCAGTTGAAGCAGTCGGAGTTGGATTTTCAGAGTTGTTTTCGGTATTCTGCGGGCAACCCAATAAAAAATAAACCATAATGAACCTACTATTTGTGGATGGTTTATTACTACCACCCATACAAACGGTGATGACTTGGGGATGGTTTATTTGGTTTTACTATATTAAGATCCATTACCATCCATTACCATCAACTAAAACCCACTGCGGCAAGGCGCTTTTCCCGACTGGCAGAAGTCATCGTGTGGGCGTCTGAGTTCCGCACTCCGCAGGGCACTGTGCACGGTGGAGCTGCCGGTGCAGCTGTCAGGCCAAGCACCGGCCCCGCCCCGGGAGCTTTGGCAGCTCTGGGCTCAGAAGGATATTTTGGAATACTTTGACATGTTTTTTTGGAATATCATTGGAGGCTTTGGAGATATCTTGAGATATATTATCCTGTTATATCCTATTGGTATTGGCATTTTTTGGGTGGAAAACATGACAAACCTTTTGTCAACTTTATGTGCCTCACCGTTCCTCTGGGCATGGGTGGTGTGCACCTATGAAAGCAACAGCTGCCCTGAGGTCCCCGGGGCTTTTGGAACCGAGGATACGGGCGGTGCGTCCGCGGCGCAGGACGGAAATGGATTGGAATGTAGTATTGACTCCAGGATGAGAAATTATGCAATATGATGTAAGATGATGTAACATGATGTAATATGATGCAATATGATGTAATATGATGCAATATTATGTAATATGATGCAATATCATGTAATATAAAATATGATGCGCTATGATGCAATATCATGTAATATGCAATATGATGTACTGTAATATGATGCAATATGATGTAATATGCAATATGATGCAATATGATGCAATATGACGTAATATGATGCAATATGATGTAATATGCAATAATGGTAAAATATGATGCAATATGATGCACTATGATGCAAAATCACGTGCTATGATGCAATATGATGTAATATGATGCAACTTGATGCAATATGACGCAATAGGATGCAATATGATGCAATATTGTGTAATATGCAAAATGAGGCAATATGATGCAATATGTTGCACTATGATGCAATATGTTGTATTATGCGGTATGATGCACTATGATGCACTATGATGCAATATGGTGTAATTTACAGTTTGATGCAGTATGATGCAGTATGATGCACTATGATGCAATAAGCAATTTGATGCAGTATGATGCACTATGATGCAGTATGATGCAATGTGCAAAATGATGCAATATGATGCAACTTGATACACTATGATGCAATATGATGTAATATGCAATTTGATGCAATATGATGCACTATGATGCAATTTGCAATATGATGTAACATGTTGCACTATGGTGCAATATGATGTAATATGCACTATGATGCAATATGATGCAACAGGATGTAATATGTACTATGATGCAATATGAGCTAATTTGCATCATGATGTAACATGTTGCACTATGGTGCAATATGATGTAATATGCAATTTGATGCAATATGATGCACTATGATGCAATATGATGTAGTTTGATGCACTATGATGCAATATGATCGAATTTGCAATATGATGTAACATGTTGCACTGCGGTGCAATATGATGTAATATGCAATATGATGAATATGATGCGGCATGATGCACTATGATGCAATATGATGCATTATGATGCACCATGATGCAATATCATGTAATATGCAATATGATGCATTATGATGCACCATGATGCAATATAATGTAATATGCAATATGATGCAATATGATGTAATATGCACTATGATGCAATTTTATGTAATATGCAATATGATGTAGTATGATGTAATATGACGCAGTAGGATTCAGTATCATGTAATATGCAATATGATGTAATATGCAAGGTCATGCAACATGATGTAATATGCAATATGATGGAATTTGATGCACTATGATGCAATATGATGTAATATGCACAATGATGCAATATGATACAATATGATGTACTATGCAATATGATGTAGTATGATGAAATATGATGCAATATCATGTAGTCTGATGTAATGTGATGTAATTTGATTTAATATGATGTAATTCGATACAATGTAGCATGATGTAATATGATGTAATCTGATGTAATGTGATGTAATATGATATGACATGTTATAGTATGATGTAATGTAACATGATGTACAGTCTACAGTAATATGATGTGATATGATGTAATATCAGCCAGATCGGCATATCTCCAGTATGACTTCAAAATAGTTTGACTGCAGTCATCCTGGAAATCCTCCCATTTCCATATTTGTTGCCAGCAAAAGTCTATATTTTATTTATCTACTGCAGGATGTCTATAGATTAATTCATGCAACAATTTCTGGGGGTTCAATGTCAACCCATAGCCGGCCATAGCCTTGGCTGGGTTTTTCCGATGAAGGAGACCCGCTTTGGAGGGCGTGAATCTGCAGACCTAGGCCTCGCAGTGATAGCTGGATCCGGTAAGCCGGTAACACTTTAGCTGGCCCCATGGTTTGCCTTTTTTATTTAAGGGCTGCCGCCCCTGCCGCCGACCCCGGAAGAAGTGGCAACGAATCAAAGCAAATGGGCATAAATATTCTTCGGTGCTTCGCACTTTCAGGTCTTCCCCCTTTATCCTACGAATATTTTTGTGAAATATATTTGATAGGTTTGAATGAAATATAGTTTATCAAATAGTTTGCTCTATATCCTAATATTTTTTTTTGCCAGGGGGGCAGGGCAATACTTGAAATACAACTCGACAGGTTGATCAGGATGACAGCTTTCATATTTATATATATATCTCTCTCTCTATTATTTTTGGCCCTATTATTATACAGATAGTGTTGCGCCGCACAGGTGCATGGTTGCGCCGCACAGGTGCATGATATTTTATCAAAGTATACGGGGCCCTTGTTTTTTAGATCCCCCACTTTGTTTTTTAAACCCCTGACCTCTTTCTGCTGTTCTGCCGTTTTGCTTTTGTGCTTCTTTGTTTGTTTGTTTGTGTTTCTGCTTTTCAGCCTTTTGCTTTTGTTGCTTCTTTGCTTGTATACTTCTCTGCTTCTCTGCTTCTCTGCTTTTGTGCCTTTTGCGTTGCTTGCTTTTTGCTTTTCCTGCTTCTTTGTTCTTCATGCTTCTCTGCTTGACCTGCTTCTTTTCTTTTCTGCTTCTTTGCTTTTCTGCTTATGCCTTTCTACTTCTACTAGTACTATTCCACCTTTTCTTTTCATCAGTCATGCGTTTTTGCAGTTCTACTTTTTGTATCCGCATTGCAAATTGATAAAATTATTATATACAGGAATGATTGCAAACTGATAAAACGATGATGCACAGGAATAATTGCAAATTGAGAAAACTATGATACACAGGAATCATTAGATGTACAGGAACAATTGCAAATTGATAAAATTATGATGCACAGGAATGATTGCAAATTGATAATTGATAAAACCTTGATGCACATAGTGTAAATCCTAACGCACCAACATTCATTTTGTTACACATTCAACAAGAAAGAAGGTACTCAAAAAGTCGACTTTTTAGGGACCTCCAATTCAGGTTATGACATGAGGTTGTCACCGCAGCAACAAACAGCCTCGTTGAAAGTATAGAAATTACAAAAAAGAAGCAAAATTATCAAATGGGAACCCCCCCCCGGGGGGGGGGGTTCCCATTTGCAAGTTTTTGGAAAGAGGTTCCCAGTGACAAGCTTGGATTGGCAGGAGCCACTGGTACTCTGATCAATCACCACATCCAAATAGTGACTATACATCTGTAAATATGTAGATGTATATATGTATGTAGAGACCATTATACGGTCAGCCCTTGTATGAAAAGAGATTGATGACACAATATAGGCAATTCACCCGAAAAAAATGAAGGACTGCAAATTGATAAGGTTATGATGCACAGGAATTATTGCAAATTGATAAAACGATGATGCACCGGAATGATTGCAATTTGATAAAATGATAATACACCGGAAGGACTGCAAATTGATCAAACGATGATGCACAGGAACGATTGCAAACTGATAAAATTATGGTGCACAGGAATGATTGCAAATTGATAAAACTACGATGCACAGGAATCATTGCACATTGATAAAATTATGATACACAGGAATGATTGCAAATGGATAAAACTATGATACACAGGAATAATTGCAAATTGATAAAACTATGATGCACAGGAATGATTGCAAATTGACAATTGATAAAACCTTGATGCACATAGTGTAAATCCTAACGCACCAACATTCATTTTGTTACACATTCAAGAAGAAAGAAGCATGAGATTGTCACCTAAAATCAGATGAAATTTCAAACGAAAGAAGATACTCAAAAAATCGACTTTTTAGGGACCTCCAATTCAGGTTATGACATGAGGTTGTCACCGCAGCAACAAACAGCCTCGTTGAAAGTATAGAAATTACAAAAAAGAAGCAAAATTATCGAATGCCCGGGGGGGGGAGGTTCCCATTTGCAAGTTTTTGCGAAGAGGTTCCCAGTGACAAGCTTGGATTGGCAGGAGCCACTGGTACTCTGATCAATCACCACATCCAAATAGTGACTATACATCTGTAAATATGTAGATGTATATATGTATGTAGAGACCATTATACGGTCAGTCCTTGTATGAAAAGAGATTGATGACACAATATAGGCAATTCACCCGAAAAAAATGAAGGACTGCAAATTGATAAAATTATGATGCACAGGAATTATTGCAAATTGATAAAACGATGATGCACCGAATGATTGCAATTTGATAAAATGATAATACACCGGAAGGACTGCAAATTGATCAAACGATGATGCACAGGAACGATTGCAAACTGATAAAATTATGGTGCACAGGAATGATTGCAAATTGATAAAAGTATGATGCACAGGAGTGATTGCAAATTGATCAAACGATGATGCACAGGAATGATTGCAAATTGATGCAACTACGATGTACAGGAATTTGATAAAATTATTATGTACAGGAATGATTGCAATTCGATGAAACTATGATGCACAGGAATTTTTTGTAACCCGATGAAACTATGATGTACAGGAATGATTGCAAATTGATAAAACCATGATGCAAAGGAACAATTACAAATTAATAAAACTATGATATACAGGAATGATGGCAAATTGATAAAACTATGATGCACAGGAATGATTACAAACCGATAAAACTATGATACACAGCAATCATTGCAAACTGATAAAACGATGATACACAGGAATGATTGCAAATTGATGCAACGACGATACACAGAAATGATTGCAAATTGATAAAATTACGATCCACAGGCATGATTGCAAATTGATAACAAATTGATAAAACTATGATGGATAGGACTCATTGCAAATGGATAAAATAATGATGCACGGGAATGATTGCACATTGATAAAACTATGAGGCACAGGAATGATTGCAGACTGCAAATTGAAAAAAATATGATACGCAGAAATTATGGCAAAGTAATAAAACGATGATACACAGGAATATCGGAATACCCATAAATGAAACGCGAAATGAAACACTAAAGAAACCTTAAATAAAAACCTAAGAAACCCGAAAAAGACCTTAAACCGTAAAGAAACCCTAAATGAAACCTGAAATGAAACCCTAAAGAGACCGTAAATGAAACCTTAACTGAAAGCCGAAAAAAAATCGCATGAACGTTTGAAAACTCTCATGACAGTTCGCGATAAGAAGTCTTACATAAGACTCTAAATTAAATCTTAAATGAAACTTTAACGAATCCCTAAATGAAACCCTACATGAAACCCTACAGAAACTCTAAACGAAACTCAAAAAACATGTAAATCCTAAAGAAATCTAGAATGAAACTCGAAAGAATCCCGAAATCAAATCCTAAAGAATTCCCAAATGAAACCCTAAATTTTTGGCTTTATTCTCTCCTGTGTGTATCCTAAGCAAAACCTTAAAGACCCTAGGTGAAAGCCAAAGAAACCCTAAAGAATTCCTGAAAAGAACTCCTGATAAGAAACCCCTACATGAAACACTGGTTTGCGCCGCACAGGTGCAATGCAATGTAATGCAATGCGATGCAATGTAATGCAATTGAATGTAATGCAATGCAATGAAATGCAATGCAACGTAATGCAATGCATTGCGATGCAATGTAAGGCAATGAATGCAATGCAATGCGATGCAATGTAATGCAATGTAATGCCATGCAATGCAATGTAATGCAATGCAATGTACTGCAATGCAATGCAATGTAATGCAATGCAATGCAATGCAAGGTGCCATGTTGTCCGTCCTATGCAATGGGGATTGTTGGTGTCCAAAAAGGATATGGGAAAACTACCTGGGCTTATATATATATATACAGGTAGGCAGGTAGCTGGGAACGGGACAACCCAAGAACCCGAACAAACAACAATAAAGCGGAGGGGACGCCAGAACCCCAGGACAAGACAGAAGAACGCGGAGGGGACGCAAGAACCCCCAGATTAAGCAAGAGAGAGAGAGAGAGGATCTAAACGGGAAACCACAACCAGTCTTCCCGAGGTCATTTTGTGTAAGACCCCACGGCTTCCGTGGGAAATGGCCTGTATGAGAGAAACATTTATTTTTAGCCCTGCATTGCAAGAACAAGAAAAACAAACAGAATTTGGGAGCATAATTGCAAATTGATAAAACTATGATGCACAGGAATGATTGCAAATTGATAATTGATAAAACCTTGATGCACATAGTGTAAATCCTAACGCACCAACATTCATTTTGTTACACATTCAAGAAGAAAGAAGCATGAGATTGTCACCTAAAATCAGATGAAATTTCAAACGAAAGAAGATACTCAAAAAATCGACTTTTTAGGGACCTCCAATTCAGGTTATGACATGAGGTTGTCACCACAGCAACAAACAGCCTTGTTGAAAGTATAGAAATTACAAAAAAGAAGCAAAATTATCGAATGCCCGGGGGGGAAGGTTCCCATTTGCAAGTTTTTGCGAAGAGGTTCCCAGTGACAAGCTTGGATTGGCAGGAGCCACTGGTACTCTGATCAATCACCACATCCAAATAGTGACTATACATCTGTAAATATGTAGATGTATATATGTATGTAGAGACCATTATACGGTCAGTCCTTGTATGAAAAGAGATTGATGACACAATATAGGCAATTCACCCGAAAAAATTGAAGGACTGCAAATTGATAAAATTATGATGCACAGGAATTATTGCAAATTGATAAAACGATGATGCACCGGAATGATTGCAATTTGATAAAATGATAATACACCGGAAGGACTGCAAATTGATCAAACGATGATGCACAGGAACGATTGCAAACTGATAAAATTATGGTGCACAGGAATGATTGCAAATTGATAAAAGTATGATGCACAGGAGTGATTGCAAATTGATCAAACGATGATGCACAGGAATGATTGCAAATTGATGCAACTACGATGTACAG